AAGGAACATGGTTCTACAGTTAACTGAAAAGATCCGAGGACAGTGCTCAAGACAATCCGAGCTACGCACACTGTCCATCATCGGGGATAGAAATAGACAATATATTGCACGAATGTTATCGTTGAAGAATTCACCTACAGATTCGCGTGGCAAAACGAAGACTAGAGAAAGATACCTGTAACTATTGTAGAGATTAAAGACAGATAATCAATAGCCACAATTAAATGCAAACTGTGCATGCAAGATACGAAATATAAATTATGTAACGGTGTGTGTGTCTGTGTGACAAAGAGTCTCCTATTTACATGCTGCTCAGGTTCGTCTGGAGAATCGCTTTCAACGCTCCGATTCGGATTCGATAACCTGGCTATTTGACTCCCGACCATCGCCGATCGTGTCCTCGAGTAGTGAGACGTTCTCATCGTCATCTTCCGGTTCTTCGTCATCAATATCCTCCTCCTCCTCCTCTTCATCTTCTTCACAATTTCTAGTTTGTTCACTGGACTCCGGCTTGGTGGCGTTGCCATCGGAAGGATCCGACGTATCGGCATTTGAACCAGCTTCATCTTCCACTCGCGCGCGCTTCGTGGCTACATATATACCCGCTTTGTACTTCAGCATATCCTGTATGAGGAAAGAAAATGAGAAGCAGAGTGAAACAATGAAACTAATAGGCGAGGCGGTATTTCAAAACAAAAGAATTTTTGCACTTACTTGTTCATAGCGTAACTTGTCGTTTTGTGCGTGTCGTTCGTATTTCTCTTTATCAGTACACTCCTCCCATCGACGGCCCAATTCCTTCGCGATATCGCTTACTTTCCAGTCCGGATGTTCACTGCGGATCTTCGAACGGAATGCATCGCAAAAGAAGAAGAACGCGGACCAAGAACGTTTTGGCATGCTCGGATCTTTAATACGTCGACGCCGACGACCTCGACGCATACCGGCCGGGGGAACGTAATGCGCCATTTCGCGATTGAATCTCTCCAGATCGAGCTTAGCCATTTCTTCAAAGCATCGTCTTTGTTCAGCTGTCATTTGCTTTAATACGGTACAGTGATGAACGTGTACTGACTAATTCGGCTTACCTTCCATTTTTCTGCACACTTTTTCGAGAATTCACTGAAAATCACATTTTCATTTGGGTGTTTTTTTCTGTGTTCTTCTCTTATAACTTGTACGAAGCATGAGTATGCGGACATTGGATGCTTTGGTCGATTTTTATCTTTTGCCATCATCATGAATCCTTCGGAAAAATTATCAGCTGGAATAGAAACATTCGGTGCGATTGTGAATATTAAAGCTTATCCGGGGCAAGTGCATTGAACTAAGCATAGTAAGAAACGGGGGTAAAAAAATATGGTTGCTATATACCGAGCATTCTTGTATCCTGTCTCTGATAAGCATCTTTTGATAAAATCAATCCACAGAAAAAAATATCCTGGCAGAAAGCACAGTACCACGAATGAGAAAAGTTCGATGGTCAAGAAAGAGATGAGGGAATGCGTTTGTTTACTGCTGGTGTCCATCCTGTGCTCAGTTGCAGTTTGTATAACCACTAACCATTCGCATTCGTGGGAAGGTTTTGGTTGCTGTCTTTTGGCTCATACTACGTCGATTTTCGTTTGTATGATGCTCTCGATACCCGAACAGTTAACTTCCCAGCATTAAACAAACTGATAACCTGACAGCACGCTGGTTAGTCTGAACCGAAATCTCGTTTCTTTCTACATGTGAATAAAAGTCAACTGCCATGCATGGATATGGTGAATGAACGTGAATAGAGGTTAACTGAGTACTGTTGATAAAATTCAGACCATCTAAGCGAGTNCGCCACAGATGTCGCAAGTTGGCAAATACCAACCGAGCCTTCTGTATGCGAGCTGACACTTTATCCGTGATGCGTCTACCAGGTGAGATGTAGCTGCCCAAATAACAAAACTTATCCACCTGGTCTTGGTTTTGAGGGTGGGTGTCGGAGATTGCGGTTGGTTACCTTTCTCGTTTACCTCGAGAAATGCTCCCATACAACTATCCGTCTCAAATAGCGTCTGCTGGGGAAGCAGTACCCACTGCATTCTCTTGGTGGAGTAGTTTTCCCACCAACGTGAGAGGACGAAAAGCCGACATCCGGGGCTCTAACCGGGTTGGTGAACAACGGCAGTTCACCTAGGGGGGTTGGCCAGAAACAGTGATTCCAAACCAAACAAGAGAAGACATACGAACCACACCCACTAGTTTCCGGTTGTGACAGTGGTCATCGGCGCGATTGGGCATCGAGGTGTATTGGGCACCTTGGACGTTTGACCCCGTCCAAAGGGCGTATAATCCGATGAACGGGACACCAGCTCCCAATGGATTGCAGTTTTCACACACCGCCCCGATACTTTGCGGGTCAGGCTTTCGCTAGCGAAGGATCCAGTTGTGGATTCCTCAAGAAAATTCACCTGCCTTGGCCAGGGTATCCTGGTGGCATTCAGCCCACAGGCGAATCATGGAACGTTTTTCTTTTTAAAAAGTCAATTGTGCCACGATTTGTTTGGCACAGTCTGGTGTCAGACGTGTGTGAAATATATACATCGGCTTTTAAAGATGGAGGTTCAGCCTTGGTTTCAGAGTTAAAAAAACTCCTGGGCTCAGTATGGAAGAGGTTCCAACTGAATGGTGTGAATCGGTCATCATATCGATTTACAAGAACGGTGACAAAAGTTCCATGATTTCCATGTGAACCGAATACTGTCATGTTACCCAGGAAGAGCATATGGATTTTCGTGGGGAATTCACAACCGTAGCCTTTGAATAAACCGGAATATAACTCACAAGATAGCAGCGCGGTGTGTGAAAACCGCAATCTATTGGGGACCGGGTTGCAGGTCACCGGATCATTCGTCCTTTGGACGGGGACAAACGTCCAAGGTGCTCAATACACCTCGATGATCAATCGAGCCGGTGATCACGGCTACAACCAGGAAGGTGTAAGCGTGTGTGTGGTTCGTATGCCGCCTCTTGGATGGTTTGGAATCTGGGTTGAAGAAACCCTTAAGTTTACCATGAGAAAGTAAACAGTTTCAGCTGTATGATCTGAGTTGGTCATTTTGCTGGTTTACAGGTATATTGATAAATCCACTTGGTAACATGACAAAGAAAACAGTTCAAGGAAAAGTAGCAGGAGGGGAGAAAAGTTTTGAAAGCATTGAAACACATGGTTGGTAGAACATCATGCGGATATTAGTCCGACATCGAAGGCAAGGGAAGCACTAATGACATTACGATCGTGGTCGACGTTGGTATTAGTTTGACGGATTGTGGGATAAGAAAGAGAACAATAGAGAGTGTCATCATCGACGAAGCAGTGGATAGGATTAGATGTTTGAGATATAAGATCGTTGATGAATAAGAGGAAGCTGGGCGAAATTATGGAAATTATAAGCTCTGTTTTTGATTCTGCTGTCAACCTTTCTTGTCTTTCCTCTAATGTTCTTTCGAAAGACAGCAACCAAAACCGGCGCACGAAAGTGCATGGGTAATGGTTGCGCAAACCGAAACTGAAACTCATATCATTGTGCCAGCTAGGTGATGAACCTATCGAAATTGATTTTGTTCACAATTCATTTTTCCTCCAATGTTCCAATAGGAATCTTCATCAGAACGTAAAATAAATATTAGAGCTTTTTTGTACGAGATTTTGGTAGGAAATCTCATCATCTTTCCACCTAGACATGTTTAGAGTGAATAATAAACGTTCGGTTTGCACAGGTCTCCGTTGTTTTACAACGATCGTCTATACGAACTGGAACAACCCAGATTCTTGCGTGAAACAGCAGAAGAATATAAGACTTTCAATCAGTCCTCTTATCACAATTGGCAAGGTTATTTTTGCTGTGCAAACAGAACGAATGCATCACTTTTCACGGCGATATTTCTTTTGTGACCTGCAGTTGTGTGAAATGTTTACCGCACATCATACAATTGACCGTGGAGGCCGGCCACCATACGCACGTACTCACGTCATGAGGACTTATTCTATTCGAATGCCGATTCGCTTCAGCGGATCAGAAATCTGTGTTGATCTGCCCGCATTGATTGGTTTGTTGACTGCCGAGCGTGACGATATTCTTTTTTGGCAACGCTTACCCCAGTTTGGTATTTATATTTTGTATTTTTTTATTTCTGTAAATTGTGTAGCATAAATGCTTACATTTCAGTGAAAAATGTACACTGTTTGTCACGTGGAATGAAGTAATAATAATAATATTGAAATATAACACGAAAGGTAAAGAATGTCGCTGATATTTGATTCATGTACAAAACTTTTGATGTAGTTCACATGTGATCTGTTCCTTTTTGGTTAGGAATCGGACCAGGTAGGGTATAGCTGTTAATGCAAGAGAGTAGATGCCGAAATGAGGGGCTTGTGGATGGATGGGAAGAACAAGGCAACAGATGAGAGTGCAGTGAGTTAAGAGATTCATCTAGAATCTTATGGGCAAATTTAACGCTAGGATTGATGTGACCATCATGAGTTTTGTGATTAGTGACTCGATCGGAATTAATGATACACGACTGATGATCATCAAAACATGTCCTTTTTATTACAAAATGTGAATCACAGTCGAAGGGAAAATCCCCATGGACAAATAGCATACTGTAAAAGGGAGAGTAAGGGAATATTCATGTAAGACCCAGTTTATTGATTCTGTGTTTAAAAAGTGTAAGGTTGTAAGTTGGGGGAAAAATAGCAAGGAGGAGGGTGTTCCACAGTTTGGCAGTTCGGGGAAAAAGTAGATTGAAGCAAAGAGGTACGACACCTCGGAACAGAAATCTGATAGAGATGACTAGATGTCTGTGTGCGGGATATGCGACTAGAAGTTGCAAGAAGAGGAACTGCCGAGGCAAGTTCCGAAGAACAAAAACCAAAGTAGTAACGGTAGAAGAGGGACAATGAAGCAACTGCCCGACGATGGGCTAGCGACTGTAGACTGGATGTTAGGGAAGGATCATCGATTAGCCGGATGGCCTTTCACTAAACACGATCAAAAAGGGAAAGGGAAGAGGACGAAGCCCCACCCCACACATGACTACAGTGTTCAAGAGCACGAAGGATTTGAGCTTTGTACAATGGAAGAAGATGAGCTGAGGTGGATAAAAGTCTGGCGCGAAATAGAAATCCAACCTTGCGCGCAGCACGAGAAGCAAGCGTGGTTATAAAAGGGGACCAGCATAAAGAAGAAGTTATAGGCAATCCAAGAAGGGAAACAGAGTCTGTGGAACGCAGTTGGGTGGAATCAAAGATAAATGGGGGGGGGGAGAATGAGTGGTGTTTTAAAGAAATTGAAAGAGAGGTTTTAGAACTATTGAATGAAACGTGGTTTGCAATGCCCCAGGAAATGTGTTCGAGAACGGAATCCAGTGACACATTACCTGCACTACGGTCACCATCGATGTTGGTTTGGACATGGCGAGCAGTGCGGTAGGAGAGGGAGTAGTGGAGGGTGACGTCATCAGCAAAAGAATGGATCGGGTCAGTAGTTTGTGAAGGGAGATCATTGATAAATAGAAGGAAGAGGGGGGCGCAAGTACTGAACCTTAGGGAATACCAGCGTTCACAGGGAACGGCTGAGATAGAACCCTATCAATTCGGACGGAAATGGTTTGCTCCCTGAGGAGGTCAACTAGTTGGCTCAGGTTGCTGACCAAAGCGAAGTGTTTGGCTTCGCGCCCCGAAGAAGACGTAGCAGATGAATATATCAACCAGTCCTGATTGTGAACATTAAAATCTCCCAAGATGGTAACATGGCAGTTGGGGTCGGTTGCAAAAAATGTTCACTGTTCGAAGATAGAAAATCAAAGATGGAAGAGTCGCCGCTATTGGGGGAACGATAAAGAACATAAAAGTAATGATTAAAGGAAGGAGATCGGAGTTTCGGGCACATCAGCTGAAATTCACGATTGGACAAGTCAAGATTTGGGATCCTGGAAACGGTGACTGATTGGTGAATAAAAGCGCCGACACCAGCTTTGGGTAGAAAGGAGGAATA